GGCCTCTGGCTTGAAGTTGCTGTGCATCGCTGGCGCCACTCCTGGCCGAACGAGTTTGCATTCAAGCCCGGCCGATACGCAGGTGGCGATGCGCTCCCGAACAAGATTGGCCTAATTCAGAAGCGACTGCTTGCCGGGGCTGGAGCTGGAGTAACTCGAAAGCACACGAGTGCTGTTTTCAATCCCCACCAGTGCTGTTTGCACGTTTGACGACCGTTCACACGCAGTCACAAACATTTACAAAACCAAGGAGTGGAGCTACGTTGCTGCTCAAGACATTGCAGAGTGCATTTCCTTGGATCTTTAGCCTGCATAGTAGAGTGTGTGCAAGTGCCAGTTTGTCATACACACTTCCGCCATGTGCTTTCTGCAATGAGGAACTTGGTGAACAACTCGTCCCTGAAAGCGTTGAATCTCTGGCCCGTTGTGGAGCCCGGGGGGCGCAATCTGGTCACATGCCGCGGGATGTGGGCAGATTGATGGAAAAGAACAGCGACCTAGACAAGGAGCCGCTTGAGACCAAACCCCAGCACCGATTTTACAAGTTGTGGAGTTTGCATTGATGACCATCACACACTCTCGAAAAGGTAATTCTTACGAGTTGTGGGAGTACAAATCGGGGCCAGGTTGCTATTGATTATAGATTCAGGGACGAGACCGAAGCTTGCAGGTGCCTATGCACACGGTCGCCTTGGCGATCAAAGATATAGAAAACCCTGAACAGCATGCCAACGTGCGCACGCCGCTGGTCTCAGCTATCACTTGTGGTTTAATTTGTTAGTTATAAACAAGCTTTGACCATTTCCCACGTTTCTCCCAAGCCGGCGCCTGCATGTTGAGGACCCTGCCAATCATCGCCCCGCATGAGCTGACACCTTGGCTTATTCGCAACAAGCTCATCCGGCTGGACAAAGGCGGGGGGAGTTGGCCAGACTTAAAGAACCCGTAGTTTGCCAATTTGTTGTTTGTTGCTTAGGCGAAGCGATCGATTTTTGGACCCATATGAAAAAGCACAATGTCGAGTGGGCGCAAGATGTTGTACCTGGACAAACAGCTTTCTATCCAATATCTGTCTATGGAGATGACGCCCGGTACACCGACACCGGAGAAAAGATCCTGACTATTCTGGTTAGAGCCTGAACCGAACATATTTGCCTTACTCTTTGTAGTATAGCTATACGTGTAGATGCTATATGGTACAATTTCATCAACCGTATTGTCTTAAAAGTTTGCTGCGCTGAGGTTACCCTTTATGGGATACTCACAAGAAATCAATTTGGAAGTCACGATTTCCGGTGTTCTGCCTCCACATGCAGAAATCATTGGGAAAAGAAACGTTGGCGCCGGTGTGGCGCTTCCTGCAGTGGTCGATCAACTGCCTTTACAAGAACGAGCATCCATGCAGGGATGTAGATGGCAAAGCCTGGGACCCACAATTGGCAGGTACCCCTTTGTTCCCTGGCGAAGACCACCGTTTCAGGCTCACAGAAATTCGTGGAGATTGGAAGTGGCTCCAGGAGACTTGGAACATCAGAAGTCACTGGCGGTCAGACCGGGTGTGTCACCGATGTCGGGCGACCAAATGCACTACATGTCCGCTGTACAACTTTGATGAGAACCCTGCTTGGGCCGCAACCGCATTGAATTTTGAAATGTTTATGGACGAAGAGATTAAAATGGCCGATCCCCACTTGAATTCCCTGCTTTGGTGCCACGGATTTCACTTCCTTATGCTGCGTCCGTGCAGTATGCACGCGATCCATTTGGGGGTCGGTTTAGACTTGAATGGGTCAACGCTGCGGACACTGCTTGATCACGGTGTTTATGGGCCCCCTCCTTTGCGCCAGCAACTTGCAACAGCGTGGGCGAGATTCCGGGAATGGCGCTACGTGCATGGGATTGCTTGCAGTCAGCCGCAGTTCCGCCCCTACATGCTTGTTTCGAGCCCGGATGACATGTGCCTCCTACGAACAAAGGTTTCTTGTTTGCAACATCCCTGAAGTGAACGCATGAGAATTGCTAGATCTCTTGCGCTTGCCACGAGGCTTACAACTCGAGAGTAATCACAAGCTTTCTGGCACACGACGCCTGCGCGCTGGTAAAAGACATGAACAAGCTCAAAGACATCGCGCCAGAGGATGTTGACATGATCCGCGAGACGGCCCTCTGTGTGTACAGATTTCATGAGCTCTACTGCCGCACTGAGGCGGGCGACCGCTTGCTCACTCAATCAGAGCCCTGGCTCAATTTGTGTGGGTTTGAGGGCTCAAGCGTCCACTGAAAAATATACAGCACAAACAGTTTGAATGACTTGACATTGACTCACTGGGCACCCCGGCAATTCAATTCAGCGATGATGAGGCAAAAGGCAGCTCATCGCAGCTTGAAATTGTGGCTGGTTTCTCACAAGACCGTGTTTTTTGGAACGGGGGGCCTATTTCAGAATAGACCTTTAATTTGGCTCTGCCAGCACGATGAACACCGTATCTGCTTTTGGGAAATGTGGATGGGCCCTGCCGGGTAAACCCCCAAAGAAGCACCAATTCTGATACACTCTTTCAGGGCACATGCAACATTGGTGCCTTGGTACTTGAGGCAGCAAATGGCATCTACGAGGCTGGCATGGCAGGGCTGCAAAGCTATTTGAAACTGGCGCGCGCGGCTGCCTCTCGCAAGATGAGGCTTGGCGAAGACAAACTAGAGCGCGATCATGAAACCAACTTTGCAGGTATAACGTTGGTGCAATGATTTTCTAAACAACCAAAATCAAGAGTGCTGAAGGTTGGGATCCCCTGGAAATCAACATGCAAAAAGACTCCCCCTAGCGGAAGTTCTTTTATGGGGCTTGGGCCTCGGGGTCAATGTTAAATTGCAGCCGTCCCCCCCAAACAACAAAAAGACAACAATGGTCGATGTTTAAAAGAAGTTATAACGTTGTAAAAAAAACAACAACAACCGATATCTAAGGATGCGATGGCAGATACGCCCAAAGCACCATCTAATGCACCACATGCTGCGAGATGTCAGGGATGAGTGTTGCCTGTCAGCATGCAAGGCGCATCAAAACCGTTCACATGTCCGAACGGCTTGATCAGGCTACAATTTCAAACGGTACCACTGCTATAGAGACGAAAGCACTATGCAATTCATCAAGCGAGCCCTGGCGCGGTTAAACGCAGTCTGCAGCATCAACACGAGCAGTGCGACAATCAAAGGCCATGACCAATCTCAGGCATTGCAGCTTCTAGCCAGAGATCCACGATGGAGAGAACAATTATGCAAAAATGGTGGACAAGGTGTGGGGGCGGGGGGTACACCAAACTTCAAGCGCCTACCCGCCCAGGTTGGGCTGCAACTACAAGGAGATCAAAAACCGCTTGCAGCTGGCGCCCTTGGAAGCCTGATGTGTGCCTGCACGCATGAGACGGTCAATTAGTTAATTTGCGCACGCTATCGCGCGCTTGTCTTGGCGCCCTATTGCCCCATAAACCCTTTAAAAGCAAGGTTGCATCAACATTGTACTTGCATTTGGGGACCAGAGGCGCAATTCAGACTTTGCAACCTACGTTAGTCTGCATGCAAGAGCTTCAAAAACAGGCTGAGCGTACCATGGCGAGGGGTGAGGCTGTGTGCGGGCGTGCCCGCATCATTCATCTACCAGCTAAGACCCTTATATGTAGGAACATTTTTTGGTTCCCTCAAATCCAGGGTCTTTTCTAAGACCTTCATATTTGAGGTCTTGGGCTCCCAGGGATACTATTGATAGTCTCAAGTGACTGACACGTCTGGGGATGGGAGTTTCTCCAAATGGTTGGTCAAAGGAAAACTGGTCTTGGCCCGTGTGTTTCATCCATGTGGTCAGTTGACCGAACAAGCAACAGATCTGGAACGTGTGATCCTGAAAACATTATGATGGTTTGGGGAAAAGAAGGGAACAGCATATCATTAGTGGATGGGCCAAGCAAAGTGTGCTTTTTGGGCTACAAAAATGGTCCAGCCCCAAAAAGTGACTAAAGTCCATCAACTGGCGAGTGAGCCACCAGGGGTCAACCCCCATGGCAGGTCAAGTCAACCCCGTGGCTTTGGTGGGAATCCTTTGGTTGCTGGTTCTCAGGGTTCGGACCAAGGCTTCTCAAGGACTTGGTAGGACCTGAGGGGGTTCGCCTCGAACTTCTTGGAAGGTCGACCATCATCATGAAGCCATGAGTGGAAGATTAGAACTGGCTACAACCCAAAACTGCTTGAAACCAAAAGGTCAGGACTTCACAAAAGTAACCTTGTGGCGCTTGAAGATCTCTCCCAACCATTGTTACTTGCCCACACAAACCAACCCCGCACCGCGGGTGAAAAGCATGACCCTCCCTTCTCAAAACATTGTTTCAGAAGTAGGTTGGTTTACCCTCTGACCTGCCGTGCAATCCTTGCGATACTTGGGGTGGGGATGTCTTTCAGGCTTTGTGCCCCGGTTTCCCGAACAAGCATGTCTCATCACTTGCAGAGTTTGGGTTTAGATGTGTTCGGCAGCCCCACAAAGTTGGTAGGTTCGAGCCACAAAGAGGATGTTGGACATGAGTGGTGTTCCAAGTGCGTTTTCCTGAGACCTGCTCCAACAACTCAAGGAGTGCCAAAGTACTCTTTTCCTGCCAGGCATTCACACCGGTTTATGAAACTGGTTCCTGACAGGACTCTGAGCCTAGATGCGGGCATTTGTCACAGGTTCTCACATGTCTCTGAACTCTGAAGCGCCCAAGGCGAACGGACAACATAATTTACAAATTGCAAATAGTTCCGGTCACTTTTCATGGCTGTGGAAAATAGCGCGTTCTGCAATACCAAAGGGGGCTATTGTCATCATTACTTTATTGCTCCAAACAAAGTCCGCTTATCACAGGAACTGACCCTTCAAACCCAGTTTTGCCAACTAGGAATCCCCAAGTGAGCCATAGCCCAAGCTTGGCCGTTGCTCAATCAGCGGATCGCTGACGACCCGAGCCGCGCACCCTCCCAAGTCGTGGCGAACGCGTCCCGAGCTGACCTCGGGAACACGCGTGTTGAGGGCGGGCTCCATGCGTCGAGGAGCCACAATCTCTCATTCTTGGTATGTGCGGTCTGAGGATTTGGTCCAATCCTGGCCTCTTACTTCACTTTAGTTTCAACAATTTTCTGTTTGCAAATCTCATCTCTGGGTGCTAGGGTCTCCAACTTTCTGTTTCCTAGGCTGGAAACATAAGTTGGGCTCCAGGGTGCAGCCGGCTCGCAATCTCCATCATTTGGGGCGGGCATGGTTGGATCGGCCAGCCCCATCCCCCGCTCAAAGGCTGAGCCCTGGACAGCATGAGGAAGATGCTCAGGCTGAACACGAAAACGCAGAGGTTGTACCTGCAAGGGGTGTCAAACCAACTGGGACTCAGCGGGAAACGGTAGAGTGTGTTGAAAACAATTTGCTTAACAATTATCCAATGGACCGACTGCGCACCATGGCTTGAACGGCCACCCCAATTTCACCCCATGGCTGCACTCTTCGAACTCACTAATTTCGATATGGCGTGTTTTTTTTTTCGGGGTTCCCGCCTTAATGAAAATGAAATACCCATTTGACAGCTCCTTGTCAGCACGCCCGTTGCATTCTGCAGAAATCTGCCGGCCATAGCGAAAGTGTTTTGAAACCAACAGACGGGCTCTGAAAGGAAACTTGGATGCGGATCTTGCAACAGGGTTCAACGAAGGGCGAGGTTGTGGCGAAGGTGCCTGGTGGGATATCTCGGGGCTCTTGCCCCTTTTTGGCTTGGCAGCAATCTTCCTTGACTTGCATTGTCATTGGCAGAGTCCTGAGAACCCATCTTCAATCTTCAATCCCAAACGCTGAAGTGCTCTCAAACATGCTTGGGTGGAAGATTCGCAAATCAGAGTCCTGAGGCTCCTCAGACTGCAATCCAAGCAAGATTTGATAGGCGCTGTTCGGCATTTTCTTTGTGCAAATCCATGGATGGCAACATGCTCAAGCGCGGGGAGGTCTGGAAGTTGGGGTGAACATGACTCGACGGTACCATAAACACCTGCATTTGTTCTCTGACTCATGGCAAACTCCGACAACATTGAATCATTGTGAAACATCGTCTTTTGTCACAACTTAGCGGTCACAGTCACAGGAGGTCCTTGCAAACTCCAGCTCTTAGCAAACGGTATTTGACAAACAAATGTGATGGTTTCCTCCATTCAATGCATGCCCCGCAATTGCTCTGAGTCTGGCAATGTCAAGACCCGTCTCAAATGTCTAGTCTGCGCTATTAGTCAACTCCTTATTTGTTGTTTTGCTACGGGATACTCCACATATCATATTGAATGTTTATCTGTCTATCTACTAGATAATGCCCATGCAAGGAAAGCAAAACAGGGACATCCGCCCATCCGTCCAGAACTGCAAAACCAGAAAGCACAACCAACAAACAAAGAGGCTAATAAACAAACAAACAAACAAACAAACGAACAAACAAACACACACACACAAACAAACAAATAAACAAACAAACAAACAAACAAACAAACAAACAAACAAACAAAAACAAAACAAAACAAAACAAAACAAAACAAACAAACAAACAATCACACAAAACACAACCAAGCAAACACACAACACAAACAAATCAAACGAACGAACGAACGAACAAACAAACAAACAAACAAACAAACAAACAAACAAACAAACAAACAAACAAACAAACAAACAAGCACACAAAACACAACCAAGCACACACACACAACACAAACAAATCAGACGAACAAACAAAACAAAGCAAACCTGAGGCACCCAACGTGCCCTTTTTTTAGGTACGAGAAAAAAAAGCTCGAATTGCCGATTTCTGCTCGACCCCCCAAACAACGCTCGCCCCCCGAAAAACGCTCGACCACATCCCCTTCTTCCATCCAGAGGAAGGCGGGATTGTTACGTTTTTTTTTTTTTTTAATTGCACTCGTTTGCGGATATTTGCGCTCGTTTTGCACTTCGATTTCTGCTCGCTCCTTTTGAATATTCAGCGACCGATCATCTTCGAGGACCGACCAGCCCGGTTTTGGGAAAAACGCTCGAAGCAGGAAAAAGTGTACGTTTACCATATTTTGGTGACGACCCCTGTTTTTGCAATACGTTTGGGCTAAGGGCAGAAATTTATGTAACGAAGGGTGCTCCAGGAAACCATACAAAACAAAACAATCAAGCAAACATATACACATACATACATGCATACAAAAAAAGAAAAGACAACCCACGAAGGAGGAAGCAACCGTAGACAGTGTTCTGCATGTTTGTTCGGTTGTTCAGTTCTGGGCAGGAATATTGCTGCGGACACTTCCGGAAAATTAAGAGGGAAGCTTCCGGACTTCTGGAAGGCCTTGTGTGGGCTTCCAAGAGGTTCCCAAAAGGCTTGAAATACTGTAAATACCAGGGATTTCCCGCATTGGGTGGGTTATTTGGGGATACCATATGTAGATAAATTGGAATCCCAGTTTGAAGAGACTACGTTGGGCACATCTTGAAGGGGGCACCTAATCCTTTGTCTGAAACAAATACTCTCCTAGCAGAGCGAAAGCTCCATCCCAAGGCCCAGGCTGCAGCAAAGCATTCATGCGGCCGCCGCGATGCACGTCCTAATGGGAGGAGATCCACAACCCATGTGCGTGCATGCGTGCGTGCGCGTACGTGTCTGTGTCTCTCTCTGCGTGCGTGTTTGTTGCAGGGCACCCTTTTTCGGCGGTGTCTTGTTTTTGGGGTGGTATCCCTATTCTGAGACAAATTGAAAGGGCTGCCGGTCTCAAAGCCAGGCCATCTGCCTGCCTCGGTGTACGCTTGCCGCTGCGGACCTGACGGGAGATGGCGCATGCGCATGGAGGTGGTGGGCATGGGGTGGGTGGTGATTTGCGGGGGTCCCTATGTTTGGAGACAAACCAAATTCTCCTCTTGCAGCTGCATGGGCCAGAATTCGAGCCTTGTGCCGCGGTACGGTTCAAGTAGGGCAAGCTGCGGGGGAGCAGCAAGAAGCACACCTCAGAATCAAACAAGCGAACAGCTTGTCGCACAGGTGCTTCAAAAATAATAGTTAGTATGCTTTTTGGTGGCTTTCAAAACAAACCAATGGGAAGCTGCGCATTTCCTTCTGTGTGTCTTGTATTCCAGTTGGTACCCTTTAAGATCCTGCTAGTAACTGACTCTCCAAGGGAAGCCAAATGAAAGCCAACCAATTTGTGGCCCCTTGAACACACAAATGCGTTACCAAGCCAGCTGAAGAAAAAAACCACAGTTTTGACCTAGCAACCCTGTATAATCTACGAAAAACCGGCAACACTTATACTCTTTCCACACAACCAAGCACCAAAGAGAGCGGCTGGAAAAATCATGCATCACGGTACTGACTTACCTTTAGATCCCCTTTTCGGTCCAAAATTAAGGCTCGAAAGAAACAACAACAGGGATTCCAATCACTTTTAGGTCCAACTTTACTTTCAACATCTTTCAACCAAACTGTGGGCCAAAGGCTTCACGCATCCAGCTGAAGGGCTCCGCCTGGGGCGCCGACGGCCCAGACAAGCACCTGAGCAATTCCCAGCGAAGCCAGTGGCTGTGCATGAACTTTGTTCACGTTGGGTTTGGGGAGCCACGTTTTTTTCAGATCTTAGCAGCAACGTGGTTGGATTTCTACGACTAAACCACAATAAGCAAAAATGTAAAATGTTTCCCAACAGCAACCATGTGAAAACCTGTGGGAGCCCTTTCGGGACAATTTCCAATTGATCCCACCAACGATTTGGGCGATTTAGTTTGGACACAGGAACTTCAGCGGCACTCAACACGAACCGGCCCTAGCCCCCCATTCAAGCCAGGCGCCCACTATTGGTGCCCGACTTGCCCGACAAATATTATTTCGTAAGTTGTTGCACATTGAAATGGGCTTCTCCCCGAATGGGTTGTCTTCCTTTTGGCATCCTTCTAAACCAAACCTGAACCAGGTACCCTCAAGACGCACTGCAAAGGACTCCAACGGGCTCCAAGCGAAAGCCAACATGCATTCTGTCACATACCAGAGGGCGGCCGCTACACCATGTTCATTTTGGGAAACACGCAAATACAGAGACAGAAAGAGAGAGAGAGAGAGAGAGAGAGAGAGAGTACGACAGAGAGACGAGGCCTCTCACAAACCGGCCATCTGAAATCCGCTATCCCAGTTCAGTCAGCTCGCATGTACTGCAGAATGTTAGCGGTCTACTTTCCAGGCTCGCGCTCTTCATTTGTCGTGAAACTTCAAACAGAAAGGCGAGTCGGTGCTGTTCAAGGTCGGACCCTCCCTGGCAATCAAACCCTGGTACCAAACAAGACCAAAACAAGCACCTGGCTTTTCTTAGCAAACAACTCGCTCAACTTTGCAGAGTGGACACCTCAAATTGTTCCGTTGGCTCGTCAATTCCCGCAGAAACCCGTCACCGCTTGATGGCTCGACGCTGGGCGCCTCTTGGTAGAGGTCCAGCACCACATAGGCGCTGCTGACGCCGGTCCCGGGCGCTCCCCCCTGGGAGCAGGTGCCGCCGCGGGCCTCGGGCCCGTTCCGGATCCGTTTCGGGTTCCGGGGGGGGGGGGGGCGAGGTCCACTTTGGTGGTCTATGCAAAGCCCAAAAGAGGGCTGAAGCTCAACTCAAGGGGGAAACGACGGCAACTCGACTTAACACCAGGGGGTCTTCAAAAAAGCCTATTTGGTTGCACTCAGCTTGACCAACCCTTTAGTTCGGCAGTACCTGACGTTTGTCCTACATCGGGACCCGTTTCAAACGGATTAAAGGGAAGCCCGAAAACGATTCAAATAAAAGAGAAGAACCCAGTCCAAGAGGGCCCCATATGATTGAAACGGTTGTTCAGTTTTGCCTTTTTTAACCCCAAGAGGGGTACCATCAAAAAGACAAGCCCAGCTGGCAGGGAACGCTCATGCCAACAGCTTGAAAGCTTAAAGGTCCAAAGAGGGAGTGAATGTTGATATGAACACTGGAAGGCCAAAGAATCACAGCGTGCGATCCTTGGAACTGAGTGACTCTACCCAGATGGAAGGATGCTTGCAGAAAATGCGAGCCTGGTCGAACAACAGCTAAGCTGCTTTGCGTCGGTCTACTGTTTTGGCGGGGGCAGGGGCTTCACACTGATTCACGGCCAATTCTCTGCAGATCTTCCTTTGCGTTGATGTCTGACAAAAATGTTGAGTCACAGCCGAACAGCATGTGGCACCGATTTAATATATGTCAAGTTTCCTCGGCTGAAACTTAAACAGAATGCCCCCACTGTTTTGGGGGTCATCTTTTATATCAGGTTAACACCCACTCCCGCTGTTCCAAACAATCTGAGCAACACGAACGATATGGGCAGCTGATTTCTCCCGAAATCCGGGCAAAGTTGAGGAATTCGTGTTTTTGAAGTGGTCCCCAAACCATGTTTTTCAACAACTAAGGCCAAGCAGTCACACAAAGGAGGTACCCAACAAGTCAAGAGGCCCTGATTCTGTTTTATCTGGCTGTCAAGCAACGTTTGGGGGGCTGTGAAATTACCAGCTCAAAGCCTTAGCCTTTTGTGGTGAAAGGTTCGCCCATCTAACCAAGCTCTTCCCAGTTCAATTTTGCAAGTGGGGCCCAAGCCATCGAATTACACAGAATGTCTTTATCTTATTGTTTTGTTTTTAAAGAGCAAACAAAAACAGTCACGAACCGAGGGGTGCTCACGGTCAGCCCACGGGATGATCCTGCTTCATATGACTGTTTGCGGGTCTTCCTTAATGTCAAGATTGTTGAAATGGGGAAGGTATGGAAATACTGAATTGTAGGCAATACTAATCTAAGTACTGGAATCTGAGAACAAGTCTTGGCACTACTAAGTTCAGACTGGGCAAAACCTGAGCACTCCTCAGGGTAGCATCTATATTCGTACAATATGTATAATGTGTTTACGATGGATTGAAGATAATCGTGTTGCATTGTTGTTGATCAAATCAACCCGTACGCTTTCCCACACGGAGCATCAACTTGCGCAACTCAGGCTGTGGCACATAGGTAGTAGATCAGGATTCCGTAAAGCAGGTGCCCCGCCTTGGTCAATCTTGGCATGCTCGGCCTCTGAACATGTCATGTACCAGAACAAAAGCACTCCGCAGAATCTTGGATGTTCTGGTCACACTGCTTCCTGCTCTCCGAGGCTTTTCAAACAGAGTGCCTTGTGTGTGTGTCACCCTTAAACATCACCCCACCAAAAGAACATTCACCTGTAACCGGCCCAAAGGTATCCTTGCCGCTGCCGGGTGTGCCGCCGCTGGGCGCCCTGCACCATCTGAAATGCTGGCCTGGCAGGCCGTTGGATGAGGCGAGGCGCGGTATTTGGGTATGCTTTGTCGAGGCCACACTTCAGGCGGGTTCCGAGTTTTGGGGAGGACAATATACTATTTTGAGAGGTCCCCCTATTTTGACACGCACCCATTCTTGCGAAGCAATTAGCAACCGCAAGCAGTGATCTTTCTGAGGGAACGGTGGGGAAACCGCCAGGCGGAACTTTCCTCTGGCTTAAATTTCAAAGCATTGAAAAGTGGTACCCTCGCAAAAGCACATCATAGCCACATTGTGGTGTTGCCCAATGACCCTCAAACCTTGTTGCTTTTCCAATTGGCTTCCCTTTCGAACACTATCCAACATGGGGTCCACTTCCTAGCTGAGTTTGTTTGGTTCAGAGCCACGTTGAATGAGATAAGTAGCTGCTTGCGAGCCAGCGGCCAATCCCTTGAACGCCAGAATGAACTGCACAATCTGGTGCTCATCCGGAGGCCAGGGAAAGCACAGGCACAGTAGAAGCACCTCGGCCGCTTCGATCCCAATCGATCTGCAATCCATTTCGACTGTCAGAAGAATAGGGTGTCTTTTTTCGCAGTTGGTCCTCCTTTTTTGTGGTTTACAGGGCAGGAAACCCATTTTGTAAGGGGGGCCTGAAACAAGACTCTCTCTCTTTTGGAGCTGAGACCGCCACTGAAACACACTTAAAGGGGTCACAAGCCTGGTCCGCGATTCTGACAAGCAACAAATTGGAAGCAATGGGTTTTCACTTCTGGGAGAACTGCCAGGCCACAGGCATGGTTTGATGCAAAAGCGAAGCCGTTTTGACATAGGCAGTAGCCATCCAATAAAAAGACCTTCCCACTATTTGGCAACTGATGGTAGCTGCATTGGAAAAATGGGAACTTAGTCAACAAAGAAAGCATTCTGAACTTTGTAAGCCTTCTTGTATGTGCCCAAAACGGTTGGGGTGGCGAGCTTCTTTTTTTTTGGCGGGGGGGGGGGGTTGGGAGTTGGTTTCGGCCGTCTGAAACATTCAACTCGTGCCCGTCTGAGCACCCGACTGTGTAAAACAAGGCCCGCACCACCAGCAAGGGACTAAGAGAAAGTAACCTGGCGGATCCGTTTCGAACTGTTTAAGATTGTTCCACCCCACTTTGAGGCAATTCCACAGTTTGGAGACTGGATATGGAGTAGTAGGAGACGTTGTCAACAAAAATGCGGACTTTGTGGACGGAGTGCACAAGGAAACCAATTACAAGGAAGCCAACCATTTTGAGGGGTCTCTTGCCTACTTGAATGCTTGGCAAGCCAAGCCGGGCCAAGCCAGTGTGATCAGTAAACTGGGTATCCAGCCACTTGTAGAACTTCTCAAAAAAGCAGTGCCTACAAACACTACCTGCACCGAACCTTTCTCGAAATTCCTGCCCTGACCTGCCACAACTCAACTCATAATTGAGTTGAAAAAAGAACACAACAAGAGTTTGATGGTTCGCACCATCTTTCGCCGTGCCACCAGCACAATGGTTTTTTTCACACATCAACTCACTTAGCCCACCTCCCCAACCCCCCCCCCCCCTCCCCTGGGGGGGGGGAAAACAAAAACAACTCGGCCGGGCGGGCAAGAGACAAATGTCGATGGGCTCGTACAAGTACATCTGGAAAATGGACTTGTCACCTGGCTACAAAAAAAAGTTTGTGTGCTGAATTTGGAGGTGGGTTGAGCTCAATATAGGTGCCTCTTGTGGGGATCTTCGGGTCTTCCTCACGTCTGTGGATTGAACCCCTCAAAAAGTCAACGTGTTTGTTTACCACCTAAATTGAGGTTGTCCGGTTTCCCTTTAAGACCAACCAAAAACTGGTATACCAACTCCAAAAAAAGACAGACCCAACTCGGTTCCTCCACGGATTCTGTCCTGAAACTTGTGGAACTGAGCATGGGACACCGGATGAATACCCAAAAAGACTTGCCAGGCTGCATTGGCCTGCCAAGCTACCGCATTCCCACAGCACCTTGCATCATTCAATATGGATGAAGACATTTTGCGCCTCACTCGCCAACATTCCCACTACAACCAATTGATTCCAACAGTTTCTGCTGCTTGTTGATGTTGAACCAGGAAGGAGAAAAACTGCTGGAAACACTCAACCGAAAATGATCATTACATAACAAAGCATGTACGAAGTAAGATGAATCAATTAGGCTACAATGTTGTTGTTCCGTCACAAGGGGGTATGTGAGTGCTAGGTGGACAACACCGGGACGTTTCTTGGCAGACTCCATAAAACGAAGACACTGACAAATGCACATCAAAATCAGTAGTGGAGAACTCTAGCTTTCAAGATACATCCCAAGATCCTGAACAACATGGATATGGATATCCTCAAAAGCAACCAGGGGACAGCAGGTTTTAGTCCTGCTGTCCAAGGGTTCCATGTTGCAATTATGTCTGACCACTCGGCGGTTTGCCTTCAAGAGCCCCAGGAATCGACCATCGAACCTCAAGGACTTGACTCGCGAAGAGCGTCACCGGGTTTCGGGCAGGGCCAGTAGTGGTATAAGAAGAAGGCCCGGAACCTGAGCGATCGCAACCTGAGAAAATTTCTGCGGAATCACTAGAACTACAAAAAACCAGCCAAAGGACTTACAGCTGAGCTCGCTTTAGGGCCGCAAAAATACATATTCATGGCCTGGGTTTCCACTTTAAGGGGCTCACAAGCTTCATGGTTTCGCACTGTCCATAGCTTCGGCCTCGAAAAACTGACCTGTCTCATCTGCGCCTTGGCAACTTGGCCCATTGGCCCATGCTTCCTTCCCAAAGCCATTCGACCTTAAGCCGCTTGGCTGGGCTCTCTTTGCACTGAAGGGGGCTTTTAGTCTTTTTGGGGGTCCTCAAGGGCGCGAAACTCCACCGGATGCAACTAGGGATCCGCCGGGATGGGTCCCATGTTTTCAAATCTGTGAGCAAACGATGAATGCTAGTTTAGTTGTAGCAGACCCCCCCTGGTCGCAAGAAAACTGACTACGAAACCAAACAAGGCCAAACGGCAAACAACAACTCCAAGCCCCCGCCAAAATGAAAAAGAACAAGCAAACAGAACCAACAGGGTTCTATACCGCCAAATAAATAAGCCGCAGTCCACAAGATCAATCAATAAAGCATTGGATTCCCCCCACTCAAATCCCGACTAAAATGGGTGGTGCACCGAAAACCCCCAAATGGGATCCCGGTGGTTTTGACCCACAGCCAAATGGCCGTGGCTCAAAAAACCGGCACCCAAAATGGACCTGGTAAGTGGAAACTGCGTAACCCGAGCTCTTGAATTCGGGGCCACACCCAACGAAGCCGTGGGATTCCCCCGGAGTCCGAATCTCCGGCCCGGGGCTCGGGCTGCGCAGCTCTGCGAGCCGCAGCGCTTCCGAAGGACCCACCTCGACCCACCGACCCCCATGCCCCGTCCCCGCTGCGCTCCAAAGGATTCTGTTGCAAAAACAGCGGGTAGCCTCACTAAAACTTCCATTTGGTAAAGACCCCTGGAAAAATACAATAAACAAATGTCCAGTAGTGATAGATTCCCTGTAGCCATGCGCACCTTCGATGGGGGCAACTGGATCCGAGGGATATTTGTGCCACCATGATGATTACTGCGGAAAAATGCCATATGTTCCTGCAAGATGCATCAGATCCTTCCCAGTCAAATGAGTCTAGGTCACAAACTGTTTACCACAAAAGTGGATGCTCCGCAAGTAAGTCCAAGCCAAAAGCTTCAGACCCATTAGTGTGCCACAATCTGAGTCAAACGAGTTGGAACTGAAGAGCAGCGTTGGAATGGAGCATGACACCAGCTGTGTGCCGAGCCCCAGTTTCACTGGAGTGGGGAGTGTCAAATTGGCGACAACCGTGAACCCTTTAAGGAAACAAAATCATGGCACCGAATGTCCGATTCCAAAAGTGGGACTTTCAAGTACGCCAACTCTGTGTGGAAAGCCCACAACACACACCATCGAACGCCTGACAGGTCGGAGTGCCTGACAGGTTCAGGCGGACATCATTGATCATGTCGGTTGCTTAAAGCGAGGGCACGTAACTCGAAGTCCAAACTGGTTCCCAAAATGATCTCAAGAAAGCCACGTCAACTTGGCACTTTTTGGGCAAAGAATGCCATACTTTGAAGAAGCATCCACTACCACTTTTACGAGGAGACCAACATGCACTGCATTACGGTAGCCTTACCAAGACACCTGTCGTGTCCAGAAGCAAAGATTCGGACGTGTCCGGGGGATATCCTGAAACTGGAAACCGACCCCCTTACTTTTCTCGGAATTGGATAAGCCAAGCAACTCATGCAGTTGGGCGCGATTGGGGGCCGTGGACCATCTGTTATGACTCTTGCGAAGACCGCCCTCGTATGGCTGGCTCCGTTTGGTTTCCCCTCATGCCATACACTTAACACAAACACGCCCAGACATGGCCAGAAATCATGAGTCCCAAGAGAACTCGACCATACCCATAGCAGGTAAGGGCTTGAAACCTCTTGAGCATCATGGTCTTCCCTGCAGAACTACATTCTCATCCGGAAAGCTGGATAAGGCAACATGGCCATGTCAAAAGCCCGTACCCCCAGTGAACATCCCAATCCCCACTAAAATAGGTTCTAAAATGGGTGGTGAATTCACCTACCAACCAAAATGGGATCCCAAAACGGTTTTGAGAACAGCCACATCTCTGGCCTCCCTCTGGAAAACTGGATCCTGTGGCGCCGGCAGCAGAGGCGCCGTCGCGGTGCCTGGTGCGACAGGCGGAAGCTCCCAAAAGGGCTTCAAACCGAACCCAAGGGTGGCATAACCTCCCCATCCAAAAGTATGGATAAAATTATCCGCAATATTCTTAAGACAATATAGCTCAACACGAATCAGATGTAGGGTGTATACCTAATATACAATTAGAGGTAAGATTAAAGCCAAGAGCAAAACCTTTTGCAATTAAGCTCCCCCCCCAGAAAGAAAAAGAAGAAAGGGGAACACCAAAAAAGATCGATCCCCATTTTGCCACCCCGAACTGCATGCTAAATCTTGATGTAAGGGACTTGTCAGAAGTGTCCAGGGTTAGCCCAAACATCAATTCATGCAGGCATCCATTAAAGGGGTTCAGGGTGCCGGTATAAAGACACAAAACTAAACTGTTGCCAGGATTGTCCAACCTCCATGACAAGCGAAAATGGGCAGCCGCCCCCATCTTGCGCAGCTCTCCGGTGGCCAACGAAACGGCAATTATCCGTTTGGTGGAAAGCGGCTGCCTCTGAAAAGCGACCAGCCGTGAATCCGGGGTCAAGTGGCAACGGGGATGCCTCAGAGCTTCCGAAAAAGGGGGCCAACTAGGCGTGTTCCCAAGCAACAGCAAACGATGCCCCATGTATCAACAAATCTGACAAACTGCCACTCAAATGGTCCCGACCAACAAGAGTGACCGGGGTCCGCGACCCAAGGCTTCAAATTCCGACTGAAAGATCCTGACGAGATCTTGCAAATCTCCAAACCTGACTGAGCCACAACCACTGCAATTAGGAGATCAACTCGATTGTTGCTTTTGGTGTTCGCCTTTCTATCTCTATTTTTCCTATTGCATTTTGTTTGTCGTCGCCTTGCGTGTCACCAGTGGGAAAGTTGGCTTTGGGCCACACTCAGAACAGCCGCTCACTCACTGGTCAGCTTGCCTGGAGCTTTTGGTAGTCGATGATCAAAACCTTGGTTGATCCAGCAGGCAGGGTCCGCATTTTGCGTACATTCCAAGGATCTGAGAGTTTTTGTATTACACCCTGAGACTACACCCTTGGGAAATGACCCAGAACGGTTCAAGATTAAACGGTTTTAACCAGAAATATATATATATATATATGTATATGTATATATAGATGGAGTCAATACCCAGTGGGTGTATTCCCAGGGTGCAACACAAAAACCCTTAGAAAGGGCTTAAGCGTTTTCCCTCTCAGAATATCACCCTGGGATCAGGTCTACCTGATTTCCTCAAAAGGAACCCTAGCAGGTTCACGGCCTATGGCTTGTGCCGAGCGTCAACGGCCTTCGGCCCCACTCACCCAATCCAGTTGCCCACAAGTAGTGTTGTTAGTTGCTCATTTGTCTGGTTTTCGGCATTTGGGACCGTCGACCTTTGTTCCCCTTCTTACATGCTGAGAAGATTGGCCAAAAGAAGTTTTTTTCTTTTTCTGATTTGCCACTAACATGATCTTCCCGAAAAGTATATGCACAAAAGCCTGATGTACACGCCCTAAGGGCAAGAGGGTAACATCAGGGCTGAGGGCCGAGTCCATGAATTCAGGGACCGTGTGCCTTGCACAAAAGCAGAGCAGAGCCCTGGAGCCGCTCGGCGACTCCCTCCGACTCGGGGCCCCGCTAACTCACCCTGGCCCGCGCCTGCCGAAGGTCGAACCCAGGCGCAGAACGTATTTGCTTTCATCAATCAATCAAACAGAACGAGAAGCTTGCGTAAACAAGAGGCTAACACATGTTTGAACAGGTGAGACCCTGGTCAGCCTCCAATGCACAGACCCGTTTTTGACAACCCCAACCACGCGGAGGGCCCACTCTGTTAGCAAATGTTTGACTGCCGCCATCCACCAAACAATTTCGAGCATCCTTCATGTTTACCACCTTGACGAATTTGATATCTTGAAAAACAAGCTTTTGCTCCAAACTCTTTGACAGCGTTTTGGGACAGGGTAACAGATTTCAGTGGTTCTCACAAAACCGGGCACTGTGACCAATCCTGCTTGCGGATCTTTGGATCGAACGTCCGGATTCGGACCTCACCTTTGTGCGCACCCAGCAAGGGCTCGCAGCGATACGCTAACCTCAAGGCTTTCGATCCATGCAAGGGCTGGACATCGGGTGACCCCAAACTCAAGGTTTGCCAAAGGAAGATGGACCTCAATGATCATGGATTGAAGCCGCACCTTTCTCCATGCCGGGAAAAACCTCTGGATCATGGTGGCTTTGCAAGTTGGAAACCTCACAATGGCGGTCTGGAGTCCCCGGATTCTGAAACACTGTGGTACTAGCGATTTGAGAATGGCTCATCATGTCTTCCAAATTTGCGCGAACACCACAAGCCAAGGTTTGCTTTGAACCGAACGATCAGACCGTGCAAGAGCCATGTTGATCACTTGTCGCCTTGTTTTTTCTCCCCAAGCCTTCACTGGTGGGAAGGGAGAAGGACAATATGACTTATTGGTAGTGATTTAATTGGATAGTTCCCTCACCGTCGTTTGAGAAATCACTGCAAGTGCCTGGGGGTTTGTTGCCGTCGCAACTCTCTGAAACAATAAATAAACTCTGCAACCCAACCATATCTAGATCGAGGAAAATCCGTTTGAGTTCGCAACTACAGACTATTGTACTATATTACGTACCCATGAATCGGGCATGGCTGAGCACTGCAGCTACGACATTGCCCATTGCTCATGTTTGTCTGTCTCCCAAAAGGGAAACTCAACGATTGTTTGTTTTGTTTGAGTTCCCTTCAACACAATCGCAAGAAGGTTACCCAACACAAAAAACAAACTACCATTTTTGCCAGTTGCTCAATCAACGTGTTTGTTGTGCTGATACCCTTTTGTAGATCAAGAAGGAACATCAAAGGGAAATCCAGTGAGCCTCGGAATGACTTGTTTTGCATAGGAAACCTGGGTGGCTCCCCTGCCCCGCCCTGCCCTAACGACCAACTGCAATGTAGTTTTGTCAGTTGCCCCACCACCATGTCTGTCTTCAGAAGGTGCTGCGGCTTTTGTGGATCCACCCATGTACAGCGTGAAAGTAGATGGCACAATCTCGTTTATGTGGGTAAGTAAAGGGGATGACTAAGGGTAAATGGGGATAACTACATCAACATGTGGGGTCGGTCGTGCCATCCATGTTCGGCCCGCAACTGAAACAGAACCAGTCCCTCAGCACTCGGAATTCCGAGGAGCTGGGAGTTGCCAGGCACGTTCACGGCGGGACCCGCCTCGGCTCCAAAACTGTTTGTGTGCGTCGCCGGCCGGAGGCACATACAAACAAGCAAAGTTTTTGGGGTTTCCTTCAGACCAAAACATATCCTTTCAATGGTTTTCACTTGGTTTGGCATCCTTTCAATGGTTTCCTTCAGACCAAACCAAACCATTGGGGTTCATTTATGCCCCATTCCATTCCATGGTTTTTCGAAACCAGATATTTCCCCTCGGTTCTGAACCTGGAAAGAATCGGCCCCTGATGCCAAGATTGTCTTGCTTGGCCGGTTGTTCGTTTGTATACATGCGGTGCTTCCGCACTCCCTCCAACTCGGCGGTTTTCCAACACCATCCAGAAAATACGCTGCAATTATTTTAAGAGGTAGGCAACCATTGTTCAATTTGCCAGTCCGACAACTCAAATGGCATGGGTCAAAATCCCGTACTCCCAAGTGAACATCCCAATCCCCACTAAAATAGGTTCTAACATGGGTGGTGCACCTACCCCAAAATAGTACCATTGGTTTGACTCACAGCCAAATGAATTGCTGCGGGTCATAACCTGACGATGGCCGCTTGCCAAAGGCATCGGGCTGAGCAGCTGGCAGGAGAGATGATGTCGTCCAAGGGGACCGTGACATGGCCAAGCCTTGTGTCCCCGCCTGACAAGAGGGGTTTCTCATGTGGGTATGAAGTCTATAGTAGCATCCCTTCAAAAATGCATGGCAGACATAGTTCCATGTTCAAAAGGTGTCCACCAAAGGGTCGGCAGAATCATAATACCAGACACACAACTCCTTGTTCCATCCGCTCGAATGGGAAAAACCACGAGGTTTCGGCCCGGTTTCGGCGCCCAATTTAGCTCAGCTCCGCGCCGAAGAGGGGCGCCCGGCTCATCACCTCGAGCTCCAAGTTGCCTCAAGTCAGCGAAGAAAAAACAACAGCCCTTTTCCTCGGCTTTGTGGGGTGTGCTGGCAAAAAAAGGATTAGAACACATTGGACAGTTGCCACCTGAGGTTTGGTTGTTACAAACCCTTCCGCAAACCTTCCATGACCGCCGTCCCACCCACATGTTGCATGCAGAATGTCCACCTGCTTTCTCGGTAAAACTACCGGGCAAAACGAACCTCACTTGATCGATCGAATGGATGTGTCTCCTCACTTCTCGCGGGTTCTGGATCGATCAAAAAGAACAAAGTTGAAGACCCAAGGAAAATGGTTTTTTGAATGCGCCCCGCCCCATCTGCAAATCTGAACATGTAGTTCTTCAGTATGTTTAGCTTGGTTGCAATACAGTCCAGCTACAGTTTAAACTAGTGTCTATCAGTTAACAAGTATGGTTTGTAAAATCTAAGCACATTCTTAGCTCAAGCTAACCAGGGCTTCTCTCAATCGACCCAAGTGGGTTTGTCGATTTTAGGAATGGGACCCCCTAACATGGTGCTTTGTCCTTTTGGTACCCATTTAAACAACACAAAAAACAAAAGGTACCCGCAAAACAACACACCCAAGTAGTGGTGCCATGGGTCCAACGCGGCAACACGGCTGTCATGGAAGCCAGCCTTTCCGAGCCAAAGAGGTTGCATCCAAAATGCCCATGGGTTGATGGCTATCCCTACTATCCCCCCGGCAAAAAAAAAGATGACAAGAAAGCCACGCACGGGTCTTTCGACCATGGCACCTACAAAAGGATTGCCCTTCAAGAAACAGGAGAAACTGGAAGGCACTCCACCCCATAGTTGAAGTATCTGCTTGCTGCACAAAATTAGCCAAGTATCCTACCTGCGGTCGCGCTAAGCATGCTCGAAGCGCGTGAGGTCACATCATGCATCATTATTTTCATGGCAATCACACTGGCGCGCTCTGCCGCAAAACTAGCCGCTTGCCTCCCACGCCGCGGTAAAAGCAGGTTGTTCAGCTAACATCTAGCGAAGAATTGATGACTTTTCATGTGCTTCCCCACTGGCCACGCCAGTTTTCTGGTCATCAGACTTTGAGCTTCAAAGCCAGCCGCCGGAATCCGAATCACACTGGCCACGCGCTGCCGCAGTGCGCCAGTTTTCTGGTCATCAGGTTTTGAATCACATTGGCCACGCGCCTCCACAGTGTGCGCAGCTAAACAAGCCGATGCGGCTTAAGTCTACCCCTTGTACAGGTCCTAAACTCTCTACCCCAGACTTCCATGGTTTGCTTAAAATAAGAATTTGATCAAACTTGGCGCCAGGTACAGGCCATGGGAGGCATTTCGCGAGCCGCAACCGCGAGAGCCCGGTCCGGCCTCTGGTGGAAACCACCGGAAACTCCATGAGGCAGTTCCAGGCAGGGCGGAGGTTGCTCCTGGAAGCTCAGTTCTGGGTTGGCGATGTGGCAATGTCCCCCAAAATGGTCCCTTAGGTTCCCGGAAAACCGACTCAAAAAGAGGCATCCCCCAAAAAAATACCACCCCATGTCTGTGTTCGTTTGAGACTCATTCAATCTGAGGCAGAGCCACGTTTAAAAAACAACAAAAAAAATAACGAATGGTCCGAGAAGGCGACCAAAAAAGACCCCCAGTCCCCCCAGTCCATCGACTGCAAGCAGAGTCCCGCTGAAAAAAGGTTCCCGCACGTTCCGTTATTTTCTTTGTTTTTTCTCCGAAACAATGGGCAAGGTTGTGGAAAGTAACATATTGTTATGATACCAAAGCGCATCCCTGGTTTGCAACTTGTAAGACAACAAGTGGCCCGACATCTCATGGAAAAAAACAACTCCCACAAAGTGTAGAGACCCTTTTAGCAGGATCCCTTGGCAAACGCTGGGCCAACTCCCGATCATTCGCTCCACACCGTGCCGCTGCGGCGCACGTGCTCGCCCAATCGCCCACGCCTCACGTTCCCCCGCTCCCCCGGCGTTAGGCATTGTTTACTTCCTGAGTCTTGAGGTGATCGAAGACACACCTACTGTGGACGAAATCCATTTCGCACCACTTTGAAACCATAGCAAACCATTGTTTGCTGGTATTTACAGGGGAAGCATCACCCCCAGGGTTTTTTTAGGTGGTGCAGGATTTCGTCCATCCACAGTATTTCCCAACATGGAGCTCACAATGGCACTGGGCAAAAGATCTGATTGCTGCCGCTTTCGTCAAGAACAACTTTAGTAATTACATGAAATGGCCGATGGGCCCCAAGCAAACGCTATTGCTGTGCCCATTCTCCCAAGAATGGGACATCCTCACTGCCTCCCCCTGGCTGCAACAAAAACCAGCAGAACATAGTTGCTGGCACACACACACACACACACCCAGCGGGAGCTTGCGGCTGAAATCTGTGCATGGAGTGCTTTTCAAACGAGTGAGGGCATGCCCGGCACGCTCAAGGCTTGAAAGTTGACTCTTGTAGTCAGGAAAACAAAGGGACAGATTCAAAAGACGCTCTTCATTTGGACTCATAACGCAAACAAGTCACATAAAGGGACTCCAGCTTTGTGTTAAGCCAAAGCAGGGCTCGACTTTCGCTGCGTCCACTTGTGCATTGCGGGGAAACCGGTCAGTGGGTCCAGCTGTTCACAGTTTGCCCGCGTTTCCAACCAAACATGCGCTACGGTCGAAACTCCTGTGGCTCAGGGTTCCGGTGAATTGAACATGTCAATTCCTACGAAGCCCAAGTACCTAGGTGTGTTTGACCGTCACACAAATGGTACGGTAAGCCGACAAGGCCCGATGAACCAGCAAACTCAGTCAGTGAAAAGTTAGCTAACCATAGACGGAGGTAAATTGGTTTAGGTGTTCGTAACTTTAAAAAAACGCATCTCACTTCCGGAGTGGCCCGAAGTATTTGTTTACCAAGAAGGGAAAAGCATACAAAAGCTAGCTTCCCAAACAGAGGCCACTTTTGGAGGGTACCCCTTTTATTCGTGCTTTCAAAAGGAAGCCAAAAAACGACAAACCCACCCATGTTTTTCGGGGTCCCATTCCTAAAACAAGACACGCCCAGCTGATCCGACGAACCCGACGTCTCCACGTCACGTGGCTATGGGTCAAAACCCCGGTTACCCCGCAGTGAACATCCCCATCCAATCACTAAAATAGGTTCTAAAATGGGTGGTGCACCGAAAACCCCAAAATGAGATCCCAAAACGGTGTTGACCCGACGTCACGTCTCTGGGTGGTCGGGCACGTAGGGATTGGTGCCGATGCCGTGCACCGGGCGCAGGTCACGGGCCTCGACCACCAGCACCTGCAGGATGCCCTTGGCCTCGCTTCGCTTCGGCTCGCTGGCGGTCCCGTTTGGAGCTCTCTTTTTTTCCGGTCTTAACTTATCGTATAGCAACACCAGCTTGTTTTTGTTTTTCCATGGTTTTTTTTTTATTATTTTTTTTTCATTTTTTTTTTCGTTTTTTTTTTGTTTATTTGTTGTGTGTTTGTGTCTGCGGTTTCACCAGTTTTTACTTATTCTCTTTGTGGCAACACCAACTTGATGGGTTTTGCCCCTTGGCTTTTTGCTTTGTTTGTTGCTTGCTTGCTTTTCCGTGGTTTGTTTCCGGCTTCAGCTCTTTTACAGCAACACCAACTACTTGGTCGTTTGGCTTCAAATCATTTATGGCAACGACTCCTCTTTTGCCACAAATCGACCCTTGGACGCTCGGAACTCATTTTTGGATGTGCTATCAACTTCCCTTCCAACTCATCTCTTTGGTGTCAAGTGGTAAACAAAACTCCCAAAGGTGTGTGTTTTTTTGGATATTGTACTCTCTTCCTTTCAATCGCCCCAACGGCATTCAAGAAATTCCAGCAAACTGGGGGCGGGGGCCGAAGAAATGACGTGGATGGCGTCCTCTCTTCAACTGAAGCAGCGGGTTGGACCCTGCGGGTTTGCGTGAGATCTGAAAGATAAGTTCCATTGCTTGGGGGGAGGGGGGTTGGGAACCTCTTGTTTGGGTGGTTTGCTCTCTTCCCTTTTTGGATGTTGTCTGCTTGTCTGCCTTGCATAAGCATGGCAGGCACCTGGCTTCAAGCGTGTTTGTTGCATCTTAGTGTCCTTCAAAAAATGTTGGAATACCATCTACAACCATCCAAAAAAGGAACTTTCAGTTGCGTGCAAACACTAGGGCCCTGCTTTGTTTCCCGGCTAGGGCGTGCCTCTTAGAGGGACCTGCTAAATTGAAGGGAACCCCGTAGAATTCTTCCAAACGGCTCAAGAGGCAGGCCCTGCGTCCAATCCCCTGTGTTGAAACACATCGCGCGGCAAAAGAGCCAGACCCTCACCGTCCCACCCTGAAACGAGCTCAGAACACGCACCCAAAGCCAGCTAAACAAAACGCAAACAAATGCATTGATGAAGAAGTAATGATCCTTTACCCCCCAAGAATTGAACACTTGTCTTCTGGCTGAAAGGGTGACCGTACGGTGGAAATCCCTTACTTCTGTATCCACCAATGTTTTTTGCACTCTAGCTTAAATCGTCATTGTTCGAATCTTCGCCGGGACCCGGGCAATGTCCGGAGCAGCAGCCAGTTCCTCTGCTCGGCCTCGCAAGCCAAGAGCGGCACCAATATCACGTGGAAAAGGAACCTGACGCTCTCCACAACTAAGCGCAGCCTAGGATGGTCCAGGTTGTCCATGGACAATGTTGCCACAGCTTCACAGAATATGCTGCCTTAATAAAATGTTCAGAAGGGAAAGACAACATATAATCCAAACCTTAGAACACCTGAGCATTCATGTTTGGGATCCAAGGGCGAGCCAAGCGCTCTGAGTATGCCGCTGTTTCGGGACAGCGCAGAGGGGCCCAACCTGCCGGCCCACAGCACTCAAAAATTGACCTCCCTCCGACGCCCCGGGAAGTGAAGGGCCAACCCTTCCCATTGCACCTGGAGGGTACCTGAAAAATCAGCATTGAGTCAGGTGCCATGTGCCAGCAAGGATCCTGCTCGCTTTTGCATGTCGTTTGCTCAGGACCCCAATGTATCCAACCAGTTCTCACTTTGCCCACCTGGACAAAGCTTGTGAAGTTGGTAAACGCTATCTCTATTGCAAATATATTAACAAATATATATTTATACAACAAACAAAATAACCAACGAACCAACCAAAGCAAGCAAGCAAGCAAACAAACAAACAAACAACCACGCATAAAAACACAAACAAGCAAACAACCAAACACACAAATTGATCACATGAAGAAACGTGTAAATAAAACAGGTTGGGGCGTGGTGGTTTCAACTCCGCCCCGTGCTGATATCTGCGCGTGCCGAGATCCTCCCTGCCAAGGCTCTGGGATAGATATCGGCGCGCGCGTCGATATGCGGACTTGCCGATATATCCTTTTCTGGGTGGATATCGGCCTCGCTCTAGCTGGGAGACAATCTGGCGCCGCCGAGGGGGAAGCATCCTGCCCCGCTCCTGGGCCCGCACCGATAATCTTCCCCAAAACCCTGGAGGCTAATATTAATATTGGCACGCGCCAACCTCCGGCCGCGCCGACTCCTCCATGGGCGGGTTTCCAGAGCGGGCGCGGGGGGATGTCAGTGCACCGACGCATACATTACAGACATCACACCACAATGTAGCACAACACACTACTCTACAGCACACTTTAGCACCGATTGCTCAATTGTGACAACGACAAGTGTTTTGAAGGCCACCTCCAGAAAAAAGTAGCCAAGGTCACAACTGAACAAAAACATGCGTTGCAAACACGCCGCGGCCTCTTTTGTCGCTGCCACTGCGGTGTGGGCAGTTCCGCTTAATGTCAAGGCGGCCACAGATGAAGCAGCCGTGCCAAATGAAGGCATCCTTAGCCGCCGATATCCGGCCGCGTCGATGTCTGACTGCGCCGATATCCGGCCGCGGCGATGTCCGGCCGCTCCGGTATCTTTCTCCTTCGACAAGAGGTTGGATATCGGCGCGCACGCCGATATCCTGCCGGCCGTTGTTTGGCCGCGCCGATATCCGGCCGCGCTGATATCCTGGAGGGATATCGGTGTATCGGTGTGTCGGCTTCAGCACGACATGCAATCCCGCAACGCAGGCACAATGAATTGATATCAACTATATACACATATACGTATTAGGCCGTCAAATATGCAACTGTATGGGGGTGAAGCCTTCAAGGCAATCGTCAGCGGCGGGTGACGGAACCCACCGGTGCGAACGAGCCAGCGGTACCATGGAGAGAGTGCTCGACCTCAAAGCGCGGAGAAGCAAAAGACGCCAGGAGTCAGGGTTCCACTTTTGGATTACCGCAAGGTAGACTTAGACTCAGTAATTCATGAACCCTGGGTTTCAGTCTTCCATAGGGTCAAAAGTGGAACCCTGCCAGGAGTGTGGATCTGTCTCAGAATCAGAAAACCAGAAATTGGTTTCCTTCGGTTTCCACTTCCCCAAGATACACCCACGTGGGATCTCTTTCAATCGACAATTTTTTGCAGGGTTCCCTTCGGTCGCCCTTTCAAGGCACCCGCAAGGGAACCATCAAAAACTAGCATGCTTAAAGGTTCTTCAAGTTAACTTAAAATGACAATTCAATGCCCCTCAACCAGTTTCTGCACCAGTTGCCACTGGCCCGACTTGGAAAGCTCCTGGCCTAGAGCGAAATCCAGGCAGTTGCATTGTTGCTGCTCCTCCGCGAAAGGAAACCCCGTGGTTCTTTCTTGGAATGCCTGATCTATCCCGGGGGAAGAGGGGCTTCCAATCTGGGATATGGAATATGGAACCCCAAAAGAGCGACTTGCCCTTTGTCACCTTCAACACAAACCCACGAGTCTCTGAAAACGAGGGTTCAACTGCTTGTTTGTTTGCTCATGTTGCTTGCCAAAACCCTTGCCACAGGTACTTTTTGCGAAACAGCATTTGAGTGATGCAAAAGCAGGGCCAACCCACTCAAGTTTGTGGGACTGCGCTTGGTCATCGACCAGAAACGCGGCCAGACGGCCGCTTGCTTCCATTTGGCCATGGTTCAACTACTTCTGCAAGTTTAGCGCTGAACCCACGAGAATGAACGGCAAAAGATCATTTAAACGTTTCTCAAACTATTGGAGCCCATCTTGGCTTGTATGTAAAATGTAAAGGGACACCACAATGAAACTCACCGTTTAGGGAAGCCGAATACTAAAACAGCAACAAAAAATATGTCGCTATCAAACCCAAAAACCAATCGCTGCTTCTGCCTTGAACCGCCGATTTCTCCCGCGCAGCGAAGATTTCAGCGACGATGGATCGACTCGCTGGGCTCGACTCGATCGAGGCGCCAGCCCAGTGGGCCCTGGGGGCCCGGAACTTGGCCTGCGATGCAAAGCGCGCGAACGGAAAACACGCGTGGAACGGATCTGGCGTAGATTTGTGGCAAATGGATGTTCATCCACCCCAAAATGGCTCGCCATGCGCCATGGCCAAATGGAAACAAGGATTGCAACTTGCACAACCCTGGGTCTGAGATATGGCTGTGGGTCAAAACCCTGTAGCCCTGGTGAATATCAAAATAGCTGGCAAATGGATGTTCCACCCAAAAATGGCTCGCCATAGGTTATGCCTTATCATGACCATCTGAGCGAGGGTTTTTACTCCCTACAAACTTGATTGGACATTATTCAAGCTTCCGGCGGACCCTTCCGCATCCTTGCCACGGGCCAAAAGGTCCCTTCCGCGAACTTCCGCGGCACATGTGTTGTATTGCTTGCTTCCGAAGCCTTCCGCGGCACATGTTTTACAAGGTTTGCTTCGCGAGTATTGGCGCAGAAAGGAAAAAGGCAGGCGCGGCAGCCTGTGTAGGCTTGGGCTCCATTGGGCTACCCGTGCTTCGTGGGCACTTGCCTGCAAACACGGGGCCACCCTTCCGCGCAGCTTCCGTGAGCCTTCCGCGAAATCCGCCGGCTGTTTTGGTCTTCTTGGCTTTCTGTTGGCATCTGCTCTTCTAGTAAGTGTTGCGTTTCTTGTACGCAGCAACACCTTTCTGCTGCTACTGTAATCGTTTGTTCGTGCGTGGAAAAGCACGCAAGCTGAAACAAGTAAATTCATTCCACGCAAGCTGAAACAAAGCTCCCGCAAACCTTCCGCGAAAAAAATCCCTTCCGCGAGCCTTCCGCATGCTTCCGCGCGTGTGGCGCGGTGCACATTTGCAATAATCATGCCTCTCTCCCCGCTAAATTAGCTTGCGGCCAAAAAAAAAGCCGCTGATCTGAGTATTGATACCGGGAATCATACCGCCGCTTCATCTGGGGCATCCCATTTGCGGAATCCTTCATTTTGGGGGAACACCCCCTCCAAAATGAAGGTAGATGGCAGCATCTCCTTTATTTGGGGAAGTAAAGGGGATGACCGAACCCAAACGGGGAAAATTCACTCGCTCGTGCTCCTGGGCGGCAAATGTTGAAAGATAGAGATGGAAATAGTAAGTTTCCTGTAAGCTTCTTTGAATTATTGAACATCCAGGTAAGGGAAAAGGCTCGAACATTGAGTCAAATGTGTCAGATATACACCTCCAAACTGCGACGCAACATGGTTCTCTTCAAAAGCAACGTGGGAAAAAGCAGGGGCTAAGGCGAACCTGGTCTTAAGGCATCCTGGTTGGTTGCGGCACTAAACGCATGTGCTTGATACGATGATGCTGGACGTTTGACGCTTGTCAAACATCTTCATGGCTCGACGCCCACCCCAAATCGGCAAGTTGGTTGTTCTGCCATATGGGTCCGGCTTCTTTTGCGGGGTCAAATTGCATATAGACCCCGGAATTCCAACCGACATGGAAACAATGGGGATGGACCCTTACTTACCTTTGGAGTTTCATCTAAGTTGGGTCAACCATCGTTTACATGGGCCCTTTTACCACCCCTCCCTTTCGGAAGCAAATCTCGCCTGAAGCGGACTCCTCTTCGTCATCCTCTCTGCGACGACTGGAGGAAGCGTCGAGCCTCGCAAGGAAAAAACCGGCAGAAAATGGGCTTGTCGTCTCTACAAATGTCTTATTTTCAGGGTACTTGTTGCTGGTTTGAAAGGGACACCAAACGAAAAGCCATCATTTTGGGGTCCCCTAAAAGGACACACACCTACATTCGGTTTCCCAACAGCTTGAAAAAGAAAGCAGCCCTTCAAACGCAAATGGCTTTTCACAGGGATCAGGAATTCAGGCATCAAGCCACCAAGAATCACTGTCAAAGCTGCACCAGTCCTTTGCACCCATGCCCACCGGGTTCTTACGCTCTGACCTGTGCTGGGCGAAGCTCTCCTACCATTTGTCAGGCATGGATAAGGCCGAAGCGGGTGCGCGAGAGCGGGTGCGCTTCTCATTTGGCGGGCGGGGATACACGGCTGAGTGGGTGAGCTCATGGCTCACACGGATGTTGACGGTGAGTTTTCGAAGAACATGAGCTTTTCGCAGCTGTGCCATTGAGGAAGCGCGGTGGGAGAGGCGAAGTGCTGGGACCCTGCGAACGTCCACTAAAAATGCGTGTTTTGCAACCATGCCAATGGAGAATGCGCGCTGACAGGCCAAGAAACACCGATTGATTGGTCTGCAATCGGCATGGTACAGCTTGTGATCACACAACGCACATCTGGCACTGCTAGCTCAAATGATAGCTCCACACCAACTGTGGCAAGCTCGGGAACCCTGGTTGGAATGAGAGGGCAATCGAAACCATCGCTGCAGGCAAGACTTCGTCTCAACCCGCCCAATCCAGCCGCCCGCCCAACCAAGCCAACCTAGCACAACCCACACCCGCCCTTCCCCCCTTCCCCGCAGGAAACTCGGTGCAGCTGTTCAGATCACCGAGCCCAGAGCTCGAGTTCCATCACCATGTCAGCCCAAAAGACCTAGAGGCGCGAGCAAGGCGCCATCTGTACTTCGGGAAAGCGAAAACGGAGCTCTTGTTCGGGATGTAAAGGCAGTAGGTAAAACACTGGGAGGTTCCTATGTTGGAGTGCGCCCAAACACACACACACACACACACACACACACACACACAAAACACACACCGAACCAAAAACGAATCCCCTTCCACAAACCTTTCGGCCCTTGTTCCAGTGGAGACTCCCCCCCAACGCAGCAGGGGGGGGCAGAGGTGGAAGTGTGACAGATCAAATCAGATGGGAAAAGGGGAACACCTCTAGGAACACCTCTAATTCATTAACCAGAGTCAGGTGGTTGCATGTGGCTAGCTCACGTACCTGACTTTGTTTTCGTGAATCCGGCATATCACGTGTGTGTTTTGATTCCCACAAAATCCAGGTAGGTAATGGATGGCAATAGCATACACAGAGCGTGTTCATTCCCTCGAAGGACTTGGAAGCAACATCTTAACCTTTTGGAACCTCAACCAACAAGCCAAGCCAAGCAAGCCAAGCTGCGCGGACTAGGGAGGTGATCAGGTTTTGCAGCGCGCCCGGCATGGCGGGGTCCTGATGGAAGAAGGCAAACCCAGCAGCAAAGATGGTGGTTTTCTGGCCGGGGGCTTGCCAAACAATGGGCTTTCTAGTGCTTTGGCTTGTCCTCTTAGAGACACCTACTCTTCTGGTGGGGGCTTGTCCAAATGTTTGATTTGCAAATCGCTGCCCCGCCCGAAGATTTCCTAACAAACTGTAAGGTGATTGTACCAAAACACCAGCCAAGCTTTGCATGACACTTTGCGCCCAGGGATTGCAATTTCAGCGGCACACCCGGGGGCCCATAGGGATGTTTCCTCAAGCAGCGAACCCCTGGTTTGGGCTATAAACCGACGCCCCCGAAAAACAATGCAAATAAACAAAACAACAGAACAAAAATGAAATAACATAACAATAATTTAGGAATTTGTGAATGAACGAGATCGAAAGCAGAAAGTTGTGTAACCCTGATTGATTGACTTGGCATGTCATTTTGTGCGAGTGGTCAAACTAGGTGCGAGCCTTGGTGCACTGTCGAAGAATATGCTGCTGCATCTCATCCTTGGACCGTTCTGACGCTCCGACGCTCCGCCGCTCTCTGTGGGGGGGGTCAATTTGAGCCAAAATGCCGTATTGCCAGTCGATTTGTCCAACTCCCCACCTTTCTGCACCTGGCAGGAATGAACCCTTGGCCTCGTCCAAAAGCTCCTGCTTCACAGTGCTTTGGGTTTCAACGCGCAAGGGCAGTTTGCCGCCATTGGTTTGTCTGCGCAGCAAGAGAGAACCGTATCCCCTGTGATGGGGTTGCAAGGTGCAACTTGGTGACAGCCGGGCTTGGGTTTGCAACCAAAAGGGCTCCGATAAAGATCCTTCCGCATTGTGACGGATTTTGGGCGAACCGATGGGACTCTCAAGTATCGAGTCTCTACTGGTGTGTCAACAGGTGAACAACTCTGTATCTGAGACGTAGAAAGCACGAACATTCGTAGACATTTCCCAAAGTGTAAGGTCGGTGCGGGTCCCGCCCAACAACCAATCCAAGTATACTATGCAAATTTTGTATGCGCGGCCCGTGGGGGGCCCTAGACCACCCTGGACCGGACCCACCTGGCTCGGCCCGCAACTGCAACCCTCCAGTCACCTGACGGATATTTTCCTTACGGCTTCAACCCGCCAAGCCAGGCTTTGATTGTGGCTCACTTGGGATCTTCTGCTGCTGACGCTGAAACCCACCCAGAGGGGTCACCCTCCTATTTGACACATTCAAATGGAAATTCCCCCTCCTCCCCCCACATTCTCACTCTGACTGTATGACCCCAACATGATCCTAACACAGGGGATCTAGGATGCTACACACAATGATTGTCCTTTCGTGCAAGCTGGAACACATGTTTTAGAACCTGTGGACACCAAAAAGCCAGCATCTTACAGGTCCGCCCTCTTGATTGGTTTCCATATTAATTTGCGTGGGGGTAACTCTCAGCAACCGTCAAACCCATCAGCGCTAAGGCTCCGGCCAAGAGGTGCCTGCGCGCGCTCGTTGAGAGCAGCAGCTGCAGGAATGGCACGTTCATCCTGGAGAGGGGACGAACCTGGCGTGGCCCGTAGGTTGGAGCTACACTCGATGACTGTCTATTTTAGGTCTGCCTTCAAGTTCACGCCTAACAAAGCAAATAAAATGACCGACCATTTCGTATGGTACCCCATTGAATCCACATCTAAAGAAGGTACAACAACACTTTACTTCGGGCCACCCTGTAAAACCCATCGACACACACAGACATGCACGCACGCACCTACGTAAGCACGCATGCACATCCACCCACCTACCCACCCACCCACCTAACCAACCGTCCACCCGCACACACACACACAATACACACACACAATCACTCACTCACTCACTCACTCACTCACTCACTCACTCACTCAGTCACACACACACACACACACAATCACACACACAATCACAATCACACACACAATCTCACACACACACACACACGCCCGCACGCACGCACGCACGCACGCACGCACACACACACACCCACACCCACACACCCACACCCACACGCACACGCACACGCACAGCCGCACAGACGCACAGACACACAGACACACAGACACACAGACACACAGACACACAAACACACAGACACACAGACACACCTGCACCTTCATTTGAACACTTATTTTTGCTCGATGTGGTTTGTCACACTTTTTCTGGCCGACTGAACAAATATGGGCCGGTTGGGCCGAGTTGGAAAGAAAATGACCGATTCTATGGAAAGTCGTGGCTATCCTTGCAAACTTTCATTTTGCATGGGCGGCCCGCAACTGGCTTGCCATGCGGATGATGGTCTGTTTGCCCTACCTGGACAATACTTCTGGATTGAAACCCTGGGGTTCGCCAGCTGATGAGGCAACAGAGCTGGTTTTGTGTGATCCTGCAATTCTAGATTTGACCACTTTTTGAGATTTGCGTCCGTTTGCGGGTTTTTGCGTCCGTTTTGCGGGTTTTCAGGGCTGTCCTTAACGACTTGCTGTAGTACCTACTTTCAAGTACACGTCTTTAAACATTGGTTTTCATTTTGGCCGACAGGCGAGCGGGTGAACATCTCTAAGTTTCGTTTAAGTTCCAACTTCTCCCCGCCCTCCAACTTGAACTTTTCAGGCAGGTCCTTGGCGCTCCAGAATGGCTGGCAACTCATGAATAGGGTTCTGAAGTGCTCTGAAAATGAACAACTGCCTGATTGGAAACCTTTGCTCTGGAAATCAACCTTGAATGAATACCTGCTTAGCAAAAGGCACAGTTTTGTTCAGATGTGAGTGCAGTTGTGTTTGGCGACCTGGTGCGAGCCGGGAAATCGTAGCGAAAAGAAAAAGTATACACTGTGCCGAGTACACCTACCCTGACAAACGTCACTGCCACTGCCAACTTGCAAGCCCCAACAAACTCACGCCTGGAGCCTGCGGAGGCCCCCGATCACCTTCGTGGTCTGCAGTATTTGACAGGCTGGATTTCAATCTTGGGCTTTAGCGCCTCCGCCACTGCTATGGTTTGCCGGCCTCGATGGTAGGGGCAGGACTCGGAGTGTCACTTGCGCCACGTTGGCGCAAAGACCTGTGGCGCAAGTGCGCTTTAGTGGAAGAAAGCGTGACTGTTGACAGGTTGCTGGGTTGACAATGGGTGACAAGGGGTGGCGCTGGGTGACACCGTGGTCAGCGGACGTAGGATTTTTGGCCAGGAGCTTTGAGGATTGTTCTTGCGGGAAATGGACCATGGCATGCTCTTGTTCTGTTTCCCGTCTATGTTCCGGGCCGGGAAAGGAGACTGCCGGAAGACGCGGGCTGGAGAGGACTTGGAAAGACTACGGGAAGAGCAAACGAAGCGAAGACTCCGACGTGGGCCGGACCGGGGGGGTCGCGCGACGGGGAATGTTCGGGGAGATTTCGGGAAGATACGAAAAAGCTGGCGGAAGACTACGGGAAATTTGGAGCAAGACGGGGCGCGAGTCGCGCGGGCGGGGAAGGCTCGGGAAGAGCATATGACAAATTAAATTGCGGGAAGCCCGAGCGCCGGGAGTTCTACCGCCCGCCGCGCCCCGGGACGCAGGCGGACTGGGCGCGCTGGACTGGGGAAGAGCGCCAAACGACTGCGGGACTTTGTCCGCGTCGCGCGGCGGGTCGTGATTGCAGACTCGAGGAAGCCTAGTTACAAAGGACAGGCGCAGACTACGGAAAGATTACAGAAACTCGGCGGGCCGGAGCACGCGCGGGCGGGGAAGACGGGGAACATTACGGCAAAGTTGCCGGAAAACTGCGGAAATTCGACAGGAAGGCTGCGCGCGCGCATTGTTCGACTCGGCTAGGGAAAACTCGGAAAAATATTAATTACGGAAAACTTACGCGAGGAATTGGAGGAGACCACGGGAAGACGCTTCTACAGGGAGACTCTGCCGTGCAAAGGCGCGTCGCGCCCCGCAACACCTCCGCTTGAGTGACGCAGGCCGCTGAAGACTACGGCGAGACTGTCTCTTCCTCCCCTTTCTGCAAGCAACTTCCGAGGCAACTTACATACTGCGTGCAAGTGGGATGCTCGCCCCTCGCAAGTGGTGCCGCTCTGCGCCTGCTTCTTTCAACATCCACGTCTTCACACTGAAAGGGCGTGCCGCGTGACACACAATGTTCTTGTAGTCTTTTCGTAGTCTCCCCCTAATCACCCCTTAGGCTTGCCACATAGTCTTCCTAAGTCCTCCCTGGCCCGCGTCGCACGACGTGGGGCAAGTCTCCTGTGTAATCTCCCCGTAGTCTTTTGGAGGGGTGGAACGAAGCACAGGGGCGTGTTTCACATCAAGCCCGTTCACCGCCCCTCAAAGCCGCGCGCGTGATTGCGAAATGCGCGCAAAGGGTGGACCGCAAGGAGCGCACCGACCCAAGCTTAAATCTATGCCGGCAGCTTGTGTTTTGGCGTTAGCTGGCTCTTTTTTTGCACTGATGGAGCTAATCGCGCAAAAAGTGGATACCACTGCGCGGGATCATTACAATGAGCAGTCTGTGAGCGAATCACACACCACCTCGAAAGTGTTTCATTCCTGGCCTGGAGCCTAATGCGGAGAAAGCCTTTTCTGCATATCTACAGGAGGTTATGAGTGGCAGTTGGCGTTTTTGGTGACCGCCAAATCGCGGCAATGGCCAAAGCCACTAGCAATCTCAAAGGCGCCTAGAAACTGAACAGCAGCTGCAGTATTTGCTCGCCACGGCGCAGCTGGCCAAGCCCAGAAAGGAGCCACATGACCAGATCTTTACATTTCAACCCCAGCTGGCCGTTTTGGCAATGCGCCATATGAACAGTTTATCAGCGGCAGGCCAAATCTTTACATTTCAAGCCAAGCTGCGCCGTATAAACAGTTTATCAGCGGCTGGCCAAGCCCAGAAAGGAGCCAAATGACCAGATCTTTACATTTCAAGCCAGGCTGGCCGTTTTGACATGCGCCATACGAACAGTTTATCAGCGGCTGGCCAAGCCCAGAAAGGAGATGACCAGATCTTTACATTTCAAGCCTGCTGCCAGAGCAGCTCTGCTGCTCAGCGGCTTGCTTGTCGAGCTCAAGGCCCTCTGCCCATCTCCGTCTAAATTATCCGCACGCCCCATCCCACTGGGATGCGAGAAAATGATATCAAGCACTACATCACGCAACCTGTTCGGCAGCGCTCCAGCCCGAACGCCCTGCAGCTTGCCGCAGGATGACAAGCTCAGTGCGTCACACTGACATACTCATTACTGGGATAGGGTCGTACTTATAACTTGAGTTATAAGTTACTACAAGTGGACTTATAACGTGGGACAAGTGGACTTATAAGTTTGCTAAGTCCGAGGATAGTTATAAGTTGCTTGTCTATGTTTAACTTAGATAGGCCCACTTATAAGTTCGAGCTAAGTTCCGGGTGCCGGGACTTAGAATGAACTTAGCTGGGACTTAGCTTTTTAGCACCATTTGAGGAAAACAGCCTTCGGTCATTCAGCGCTTGCGAAGCAATGTCCCAAACGCGTCTACCTCGCTGAGTCTACGTGTCTGCCTGCGTGCGAAAAAGCACGCGTGCGCTACCCCTGACATGTTGCGGACCACATCGCTGAACGAGAGAGAAAGCCTGACACCGGACTACGCGACGTACGGTCGCTCCCGGCTAGACCGCGCAGGGCAGAACACGGCGTAGCGGCGGCGGGGCCGCTTCCATGTTTGGAAAACACATCGCGGCAGGACCGCGCAGCGACCATCGCGGCAGGACCGCGCAGTGAGCCATCGCGGCAGGACCGCGCAGTGAGCCATCGCGCATGCAGTTTACGCTGTTTGTTCGCGCTGCTTCGCACGCTTGGCTCGATGGAGCCGGAGCATTTTTTGCACTGATTGACTCGGTTTAATTTTGTTGTCCAATAATCGTTTCTATAGCGGTGTCTCCGCTGGCGGCCGGTCCGCCTTCATATAGTCGCATGGGGTGGTTTCTCCGCCGGCGGCCGGTCCGCCCATTTTGCTTTTCTCGTTTGATGATATATCATTGTAGCGGTGGTTCCGCTGGCGGCCGGTCCGCCAAGCTTTTTTTGCCACGTTCATTTTCATTTCGAGATGGCACTTGAAGCGGTTGTCCGCTGGCGGCTGGTCCGCCCAGGAATTGTTCGGCGTGATTTTTATTTCGAGATGGCACTTGAAGCGGTGGTCTGATGGCACCTTGCGATTTTTTGCATGTTTGGATTGTGAGTGCGCGGATGAAAGGCTGCAAGACTCAATCAAGGCTCCAGAATCCAGACTGCTGACTGCAAACTCCACACTCCAGACTGCAGACTCCAGACTGCAGACTCCAAACTGCAGACTCCAGACTGCAAACTCCAGACTCCAGACTGCAAACTCCAGACTGCAGACTCCAGACTGCAGACTCCAGACTGCAGACTCCAGACTGCCAACTCCAGAATCCAGACTGCAGACTCGAGATTCCAGATTCCAGACACAATGACTCCTGGCTCCAGGATCCTGATCATTTTGTCGTGGAATTCGGCCACGGGGCCAAGATAAGTTATGTTAAGTCGTGGTGACGCAACTGGGCCTCACGGGGAAAGTTTGGCAGTTAAGTTGATTGAGCTACAATAGGGACTCCACGGCTCCACACGACCCGCCCAGGTTAAGTTAAGTTAAGTTTTGTTAAGTTCGAAAAAACTGCACCGACCTTTCCGGGCTTTGGGGCGGGGCTGTCTGGATGCTGGATTCTGGGGTCTGGAGTGTGAATTCTGGAGTCAGGAGTCTGGATTCTGGAGTCAGCAGTCTGGAGTCTGCAGTCTGGAGTCTGGAGTTTGCAGTGGAGTCTGGAGTCTGCAGTCTGGAGTCTGGAGTCTGGAGTCTGCAGTCTGTCTGTGGAGTTTGCATTCTGGAGCCTGGAGTCTGCAGTCTTGATTCTGGAGTTGGCAGTCTGGAGTCTGGAGTCTGCATCGGGAGTCTGGAGTTTGCAGTCTGGAGTCTGGAGTCGCAGTCTGGAGTCTGCAGTCTGGAGTCTGCAGTTTGGAGTCTGGAGTTTGCACTCTGGAGCCTGGAGTTTGCAGTCTGGAGTCTGCAGTCTGGAGTCTGGAGTTTGCAGTCTGAAGTCTGCAGTCTGGAGTCTGCAGTCTGGAGTTTGGAGTTCGCAGTCCGGAGTCTGCAGTTTGGAGTCTGCAGTCTGGAGTCTGCAGTCTGGAGTCTGCAGCCTGGAGTCTGCAGTCTGGAGTCTGCAGTCTGGAGTCTGGAGTTTGCAGTCTGGAGTCTGCAGTTTGGAGTCTGCAGTCTGGAGTCTGCAGTCTGGAGTGTGGAGTTTGCAGTCAGCAGTCTGGATTCTGGAGCCTTGATTGAGTCTTGCAGCCTTTCATCCGCGCACTCACAATCCAAACATGCAAAAAATCGCAAGGTGCCATCAGACCACCGCTTCAAGTGCCATCTCGAAATAAAAATCACGCCGAAAAATTCCTGGGCGGACCAGCCGCCAGCGGACAACCGCTTCAAGTGCCATCTCGAAATGAAAATGAACGTGGCAAAAAAAGCTTGGCGGACCGGCCGCCAGCGGAACCACCGCTACAATGATATATCATCAAACGAGAAAAGCAAAATGGGCGGACCGGCCGCCGGCGGAGAAACCACCCCATGCGACTATATGAAGGCGGACCGGCCGCCAGCGGAGACACCGCTATAGAAACGATTATCGCACAACAAAATTAGACCGAGTCAATCAGTGCAAAAAATGCTCCGGCTCCATCGAGCCAAGCGTGCGAAGCAGCGCGAACAAACAGCGTAAACTGCATGCGCGCGCGCGCCTGCCCTGCTGCGTTGAGTCACACGAAAATGTGTGATTTCCAGCGCGTAATGCTTCATCACTGCCATGCTTCAAAACGCATGTGTTTGCAAACTCAATGAACTTAGAATGAACTTAGCGGACTTAGAAAAACCTCTTTTCTAAGTTCAAGATAAGTTACTTATAAGTCCAAGCTAAGTGCTAAGTCACTTATAACTCCAGCGTAAGTACGACCCTATCCCAGTACGTATTCCGTGAGTTGGCCCAAACAACCCTAACCCTAATGCCAAGACACAATAAGCGGGTTGACTACCCAGACCTATCTTTCCGGCGAAACACGCAGAAGCCAATTCTTATACGGGGCCGGATATCAAAAAAAGACACGCTGCTTGTTGGCCGCCAGTAACCTGAAGTATCAGGTGTCCAGGCTGGACATCCCATAGCCAGCACACACACACACACACACACACACACACACACACCACGCACGCACGCACGCACGCACGCACGCACGCACGCACGCACGCACGCACGCACGCACGCACGCACGCACGCACGCACGCACGCACGCACGCACGCACGCACGCACGCACGCACGCACGCACGCACGCACGCACGCACGCACGCACGCACGCACGCACGCACGCACGCACGCACGCACGCACGCACGCACGCACGCACGCACGCACGCACGCACGCACGCACGCACTTGCTACACACACACACACACACGAGCGCGGGCACGCATGCACGCGCACACACAACTCGGAGACTGACTGCATGGCTTTCCCGTTCCATCCACTTAGATGGGGATGAGCGGAGCGCGCCAAAACTTCAGCGTCCCAAGCCTCAAGGGCTAGTTCTGTGCTGGCCCAGCGACATGGGGCTCACTTCGCTCAGCTTACTGCTGTGGTGTGTCTCAGAGTTCAAAATCGGTCTCCCCTTGGTCTTAAGTTGAGATCCGGAAATCTATCTGAAGGGGCTCCTAACTTGGCGACGGATCTGATCAATTCAAGCCCAAGCCACTAAGCACTGCCTAATGCCAAGGATTTGCTCAAAACCACTTTGAGATGAAGAGCATCTGCTTTGCAACGCGTTGACTGCCGCGCATCTATGGTGTTTCCTTGGTTTCCTTCAAGACTACCCCAATAAGGGTAACCTGAGGATGTACCGCAACCTCAACAAAAAGGTCGTCCAGCGCGTGCTGGTGCGCAGCTAAGTGCTTGTTGCCTGTTGCGAGGCCCATGCCTTCATCTCAGCCTGACTCAAAGAGCTGCGGTGCGGAGAGCCGTCGCCATGTCTCGCGCCCTTTCAGCTCTTGGAAGGTCAACCCGTGCGCGAATCCAGTCCAAGATATGCACTGCCCAGGCTGCCCCCAGCCCTGGAGGCCTGATTTGGCCTATTTTGGCGGCCCAACTTAAGCCCTGAAGTATTGGGATGAATTGTCTGGCGGGGTTGTGGGGTCCCTGGATCCTTCATGCACCAGCGCCCAAACCAAAGTGGCAAAGCACACATGTAACATCAACAAGCAAAAGGCCCAGAATTCCATGGCCCCAGATCAGGCATGGTACCTGCAGGGTCACCATGAAACCAACGGGCCCCAAAACCAACCCCCAGGAAATATTCGGAAGAGGCTCCGATCGAAAGCTGTCCAGAGAGTCTTTCTGGCAGGGGGCTCGAGTATCTTCTTTACAAGGCTCGCACCTTCCCAAGGCTCGCACCGGCCTTCCTTCAGATGCGTTGATCCAGCTGTTGGGCAAAGGCAAAACGGATTTTTTGCTGGTGCTCAGCAGGGAATGAGAAATGGAATGACCCATATAAACCATCCCCTATGGTTCTGGGTTCATTCTCACATTCCCTACTGAGCACCAGCTAGATTAAAACGAGCTGAGAACCCTTTTGGAACACGACCGCCATTTTTTGAACCAGCATGACGTGCACACCTGGACAGGGTTGATTCCTCCTTTTGACACAGCAAGGAGATGCAATAAGTCAATGAGCATATCTCATGCGAAAACTCTTACGGCAGGGCTTGAAGTGTTCATGTCCTGCCTTGTTGGGATTTGCATGCGTTTTGTTTTTTTGCGGAACCCATCCAAACAGTGGTTTCAAAGTTTTGCCTTTCTTTCAACCAACCACAAAACAGGTACCCCCCCCAACTAAAAGTAATAATAACTTCTTTTTGGCTTTCCTTTGAACCAACTGCAAAACAGGTACCCTCCAGTAAACACGACACCACCGGTTTCCCCGTTCAATCCTTGACTCACACGCTTCGATTCCCCGCTTCGCCCGACTTCGAAACTCGATTCCTTGGCCGGGGGCTCGATGGCGTTCACGCTCTCCCACGCCCGAGGGGCTCCGGGCAGGTATCGCATGTCCTCCGTTGCTCACGTGCGTCCGGATCATTTGGGGCCATTGGACACGCACTCTACGCAATATAAAACGTTATATACCAATATGACCCATTTGGAGGGGAAATGGAGATTATACCATGTTTGGAGTGTTTGGGATTGGACACACTGGCATCTGCTTGTAGATCTGTGACTTTGGAGACATCCGGCAAATGGCTGAACGAAGTACGCATCAAGATTTGAGGACCCTTTGGTGGACATTCACAGCACATGGAATTAGGTCTGTCTTATTACCCTGTACCTTTTTTGGCGGTTTTAAAGGGAAACCAAAAGGAACGCCATCATTTTAGGGGGTCCGGGCTCCCTAACTCAAGACACGCCCATCTGCACAAATTATGATAAATTTACCTCGTAGCTCGTGCTTAATTGAAAAGAACAAACATATACATCGCAAGATTCAGGGTCTACCTGGTAGTCTACCTCGCACCTCGTATTTCGGGGTCCTCCTTTCCTCTTAAAAAGGGAGCGTCCACCACCAAACATTATTAAGGCATTGGGTCCCCCCCAGAAGGCTCTACGAACACTGACTACTCCACACTGAACATAAATAAGTCCAACCCGCCGGAGATGTTCTATGGCATGATCAATACGCTTGAGGCGAGCTTGAGAAGCGGCCTGCTGCCTTAGTGGGAGTTGACAGGAGAGTAAATGGACCGGTTTTGCTTCCCAACAAAAGCAGCGAGGTTGTCTGACCTTGCACACTTCGGCCCGTGTTTGCAAACAACTTCGATATGCGCGCCAGGACAGGCAGCCTCGTTCTCGCCCGGCCGTGCAACGACTGGTTTGCTGGGCAAGGAGTTGCAGTAGCTGTCCTGAGGCGCTCACTTCAGCATGGGCCATCTGCTACGCGGACAACATGGGACATGTTGGGACCTAAAGCGAATGGCGAAGCCCATGTTTGGCTCCGTTGCCTCCCCCATATTCAGCTTGTTGGGCACAAGATCTCTGTCAAATGAAGATGTTCCGGCACAAGACCCATGCTCAAATCCCAGCTCAATGTTCGTTGCATTACGAAAGCCAGGCTCAATGGGGTCAAGGATCAAACATCTCCGCCGCAACACTTGCAAGATTGTCCCAGTAAGAAACAAAGACCAGCAACACCGACATCGGAGAGAAAAGATGCACACCCACTCCGACCAGCAACCCTTGGCAACATTGAGCAAGCCTGAGAGGCAACCGGCAAATGCATGGGCTATGAATCTGCCAAACCCCAGGTCGGCCTTCTGTGCCCTTTGCACCGGCTTTTGGGCACAAGTGCCGCCTTCTGCCGCCTTTTGGGGGTACGGATGACTCGGATGGGTGAGCCGAATGGTGGAGGACTCATGACAGGCAGTGAGTTGTGTCATATCGGTGCAATATGGGGTCAACCTTAACCATCAGAACAAGTTTCGTGCTGGGAGGTGTTTTGACCGCTACGCATCGCTGCTCTTCCCCAAGACAACATGGGAAATGCAAGGGCCCCGTGCTTTTTGGCGGTATTGGGTAGACCCAAACCTGCCGAACCTATATATCACCACCTGCTGAAGCCATTTTTACCGAGTCTGTGAAGGCACAGACTCTGTTGAAACCACCCCAAGATGCCTAAAGCTTCGGCAATCTAAGCTTCGGACATATTGGACAGCTGAAGCAGCTGGCTTTCTCGCGACCCTCGGAACCGGTGTCCATCAAGTCGCATAGTGCCCCAAGGCAAACAAATCCAGACATCTCAAGACCCAATTCAGACGACTGCTTCGTGAACCCTTGCAGAATCCATAGGAAAGCTCTGGACTATTCAGAGTATGGTCTCCCTGGAAGAAAGGAACCTTCACTCCGACCAGAGCGTTGCCTCCTTGATATGGATTCTGGGAACTCTGCTATTGTCCACCATCCACGCCAAAAAATCGATAATTACACAAAGCAACATGGAAGGCTCGTGGAGAAGCATGTTTCACGACGGAGCACCCCGCACTCCGCAGCGCGCTGTCCCTCCTCCCCATCTCTCCCCATCTCTTCCAATCGTAGAAGGCACAACACAACACGCTTTCTCGCGCTCTCTCGCTCCAGCTGCACATCTCAGCGCTGCACTGTGGGTTTGCGGGGACCATGGCCTAATGGTGCTTTGTCCCGGTTTCTGGCAGGCTTGTCAAACAGGTGCATTGGGTACCCTTGTAGATAATCTCAAAAAGAGTACCTCGAAAACGACGCACTCGTAGGTGCTTCGCAAAAAAGGCACTCTATCTCAGTTGACGCCTGCGCGTTCTTGAGTAGAACAAGCCAGAAACGAGCCAAGTTTCGGACAATTTACCTGGGCCCTGCAAAGGAGTCCCAAGTTCTGGACTCTTTTGACCCCTAAAACACCTGCAGGACCTGGGTACCTGGACGCCTCTATGGTGGCATTACGCCCAAGTTTGGCCCATGGGAAGGCCTAAAGCCACAGGATTGAGCCCATAACTTGACTTGCAATTCAATGTTTATGGTGGCTCGGTTGACGTTGGACAGGGAGCAAAAATTCTCAATTCTTAGCAGTTAAGTGGGGATTTCCCACTAAACCAGCATAAGCAAAAATGTAAAATGTTTCCCAAAAACAACCATGGTGGACCCTGCAATGACTGTAGGAATTGTGGACCCTTTATGGTGGACCCTTCAATTCATTTGAGAGGAACTGTCAAACTCAGCCGGAGCCCCCAAACAATTCATGACGTCTGATTTCCTGATTCCAAGGCTGTCCTCAAGGGCTCAAGGTGGCAGACAGCCACGGACAACGGCGGAGAGCTGCGCAGCGGGCCTGGGTGGTCTCCAAATGCATCTTCGCATTCTCCTTCTCTCCTGACAGCATGTGCCCTGAGACCCATAGTGTTGACCCTGGACTAGTAAACCCCTGTTTATCTCCAAAAGTGATAAATCCCACCTAAGACCAGGGACACCCCCCATGCTGATAAAGAGGGGTTTACTAATCCGGGGGTCAACCTTGCGGATTAAGCTGTTGTCAATCCCTTTCGGGGGGGGGGGGTTCAATCCCTTGCGGGGGGTCCAGGGTCCGATGGTTGAAGCTGTCGTGAACTTTCCGCCAACAAGGAGACGTCCACGTATGTCCTGACGATACCTGAAGAGCAAGCATTTGATTTCACCACACTGCAAAATCACTTCTCATTGTCCGAACCTTTGTGTGAAAAACATGTCAAACATATCAAGCTGAAATGATTGGTGTTGCTTGTGTGTGTGTGTGTGTGCCGTTTGCAGCAACTGATATCCGGATAAGTACAAGGAGTCAGCACACTTTGACAGCGAGGCGGCCAGCGGCATCAAGTTCAAGTGGCGAGCCGCTTGCCGAGTGCCATTCGCTTGTCAAGCAACGAGGCCCCGTCTGCCAATGGCTGGCTTCATGCTGGTTTCCTGCAGCCGTCCAAGCAAAAGGAGCCGCTCAAGCAAAAAGTCCTGAAGTCGTTTTCGATGTATACATATATATACGTATAAGACACAATTGCCCCTGTCGCCTTGGAACTGGAACAAATC